CCAGAACACGATAGCCAGAAAGATAGGACGAGTTATCCTTGGGCCAACTACATACAATAGTCGTATAACAAGAACATACTAGAGTCTTGCACGGTTCGTTATAGCTTGAGGCGTGATATTTAGAAACGTCCCAAAGGAATGACTATTGCCATTCCACAACGAAAGTTTAGCCTCCGTAGCAGGCTTATAGAACTGGGGGTTTGGTGGTCTTCGGCTGTTTTCTGATTAGCCCAGTTCTAAAACGGGGGTAATTCAACCAGGCCGGCCATGTTGTCTATATGCAATCAGAAAATAGCACATAAAAAGCTCCCAAAGACCATGAAGACCCCCAAAACCCCCAGTTTTTTTGGCATGCTATGGAGGCTAACGAAAGTTCTGGCTGTGCTTTTGTACATTTTTTTGAGGTTCAGGACTAAGGATGGTGGAAATGAAGGGGTAAGAACAGAAAAAAATTGTTTGAAAAACCTTCTGGCGTAGCCACTTTCATATATAGCACCCGTATTAGTTCTTCAGTGTATCTACTTTGAATGAACACCATTTACACTGGAATGCCGTAGTGCGTATATAAACAGAGTGATGATTCGATTTGATTTGATGATATGGCCTGTACATCTGGGGTACTTACAGTATAGTACCACTTCGTGGAATTATACACGAAATATGCATTTTCAAGAAAAGAAGTGTCTCTAACTCTAAGAAGCGAAAGTTCTGGCTGTTATTTGACACGCGGAGTTGAAATTTGATCCTGACTGGACATACTTGTTAACATTTATGCTGCGTGACAATGAAGGGGCAAGATGGCGCTGACCCGAGGTCAACAAGTCTAAAAGTTTTTGATTACATAGTCTTAAGATCATAATCTCCAAGCAGATCCCTATTGGTGGCAAAAAGACAGTATCAAATTGGCCAGGCAGTATCCATTAGCCAGAGAAGGTCGCCGTGTTGGTGGGGGTAGCGACCAAAAAAAAAACAAAAAAAACGACCATATATAAACAGGTAACGATCATTCCCCCACAACCTCTGCTCGGAGAGTATTAAGATCAGCCCTTGAAAAAGAAAAACGAACACTATCAAACTGCCCAAACCAAAACCAAACGCAGAAAAGAAGAGGTTCTTGTACCAAATGGCTAAGAACTGGAATACTTCACAAGATAGGACAGTTGCATGTGAGAAATGGACATTATGTAACAACACGTTATTGTATGTTTATGTATGGTGCTATGTATTGTCAACGGAGGAATAGCTCACCTAAATGCTAAAGCGAAATGTGGACCCGAATAAAGTCCAAGTGAAAGACAAAAGGGCGAGAGAATATTATTACAGCATTCTCAGACGTGTTTCTCGAATATTCTGACCGACTAAAACTTCTAGCCTCTACCAGGCTTCGGGAGGCGGCTGGAAAGACTAGAAATAGGCCAAATAGAGAGATAACATTCCAGGGGAGTTGGTCCTGTACAGAGAACTGTTTGGCCAATTTCTTTTTTTTATTCCAACATGTAATCACCAGACGTGGTGACGACACACTCAAGTTTTTCAACTTATATTAATGCCGCCACCAACACAGGGGACAAATACATGACAGGACAGTACTCATTTACACCTGAGCTAAGTGAGGAAATTCGTGTAAAGTGCCTTTCCCAAGGGCACAAGATCGGTGGCATGTAAGGACTCGAACCCGGGACTCTTAGTTCCGAGTCGCGCACTCTGCCGCTACGCCACACGACCCCACCTGGCCAATTTCTACTCTCTACAATTTCTCAGCCGCCCTCTGAAGCCTGGTAGAGGCTTTTAAACTTCGTCGACCACGTTTCGGACGACACTTTGCTTCGGTGGTTCCTCAGAAAGAGGGGCGTGACGTCATCTACACAAGCAGAATCTGACCCAAAACGTACACAAGAACAAATAACAAACCGGCTTTGTAGCCAGAACACCCAACTGACATGCCACGATGAGCCCCTATCTCACTATCCGGACCATGCAGTCACAATATTATCCGACGCAACACCTGGAATAAAGTGGCGCCTTACTTAAGACCATGGAAAGAGAGTTTGAAACACGTACCACGGGTAGCCAAGTCACTCATGATGGCGGCAGCTGTCCCTGGGCGTGTGTTTTTGGCAAAACTCCTTACGACTTATCCACCGTAACTCCTTCTTAGTCAAGCCTGTCGCCTTCTCTTCTCCTAAGTATCCATCCTGGCGAAAATGCTCGTCCGGAGCGGTCGCTGTTGTGGTAAATACAGGCAGACTGTTCCTTACATCGTGACCCCCCGCTCGGTTCGGAGGGTGACTAGGGACTGGTGAAACCGGTCCGACAAGACTTCGATAAGTCGTCACATCTCACTAGCAGTGCCCTCAGGACTTCTACCTCGTGTTTAACAAACATGTAAATCTCCCAGTCCAAAGAATGCGACGTCCTATGTTGTTGATCTTTTGTTGTACGTGATCTAAGCTAGGAAAGTGAGGGCTATATACTTTAGCTAACCCTTAGAACGGCCGCCATAGTGATACCTGCTTTGGCGAACACACACCCTATTTCGTCACCGTCATGTGTTGTCTTTTTTTCGGCTCGTGGTTCTCTGTACTTCCAAACTACACGGTGTGCGCGCACGAGGGGTACTTCCACCGAGCGAGGCAGCTTTTCAAACAATCTTCCAACCCCGCAGGCTCATATTACAACTCCGGAGCGACAGACTCCGACTTTTCTGCTAGGCTCGAAGCGTTAGGAACACGAAAACAGCTAAAAACTACCCTTCTTGGTCGTTTTGAGGTATCTAAAATGGCTGAAAGTATTGTCCACCCCTGTTTTGCTGTTGGTAACCCCCAAGGTAACGCTAAAATCTTCACGTGTGACCTGCCGTGTTGAAGATGTCACGGGCTTGTGGGCAGGGAAGGGATAGGACGGTACCTGATACACACACAGGCGAGCCCTAGCCTCCATAGCATGCCAGAAACTGGGGGTTTGGAGGTCTTCAGGGTCTTTTGGAGCTTTTTATGTGCTATTTTCTGATTGCATATAGACAACATAGCCGGTCTGGTTGAATTACCCCCATTTTTAGAACTGGGCTAATCAGAAAACAGCCGAAGACCACCAAACCCCCAGTTCTATAAGCCTGCTACGGAGGCTAGGCGAGCCCAAAAGCTGCGGCAACAGTCGCTACAAAACCCCTCCACTACATGCGCTAAAACCTACGGTTTTAAATAAAGTTAGAGAAAATCACCAGTTCATTATGTAAGCTCTGCGTTAATACCTGTAATTGAACCGAATCGTAGCTACAGCTCTCTACTTAAGTAATGGAGTGTCCCTCTGTCTACAAACGACACGCAAAGACGACGGAAGTTAAACTAACATACCTGGCATTGTGGAGACGCTTAGTAGGTCAACTTCAAGTAAAGGTGTGGATGGAAAGTTTTAAGCTCATTTTAGATGTGTATGATCATAACAGGATTATGACCTGGAGCAAAATAAGCGCTGTTTAGTCCTGAAATCAATCTGTTGGTCTTCTGACTGTATCGAGTGCGCTCGTCAATCCAAAGGATTTGTTGCCAAAATTCGCCGGTCTTTTGTTTCAAAGTATCAGTCTTACATCCAGGCTCGGCCTTGCCGGCCGGCAGATTTTTTCCGCTTAATATCAAACTTCAGAACTGCGTTTATATCTTCACTGGATCAAAAGCTGTTAATCAATCATTTTCCACAGAACGTTTCGCGGAATTATTGAGAAATTTCCTCCTTGTTTCTGGCTAAAGTGAGTACTACTAGTGAATACGGAAATAGCCAGCGGATATAGTGGTGACGAACTAGCGGACAAAACACTAGTAGTTGCCAAGATATATTGCAGACGCATTCTAGTTATAGCTGCGTCATTACTTTTTAAAAGGACTCCCGGTAACGGACGATGAATTTCTGTGAAGCTTCCCTTCGTTGAATTCCTATTAAAAGTTACAGACATGCAACGTTGCTTCCGTTTAACCTATAAGTCATACATAGTTCTTTTGTTGCCCTTCAGTCGTGCATTTTTTTCCTGCCGCTAACTTGCCACTGGTTGCCCAAAACAGCGCCCAGTTGTTAAGATGTAAACTCGTTCTTGTTGTTAGCATTCGCTGCTATCTTGAACAAGTCACGTAGTAATAAAGCAAGTGCTGTATTTAAGCAGCCCTTTCCTACCACGGCTCCTAACGCTGTGCTACAATCCCTTCAATCAGTGTTTGTACAGTTTAGACAAACAAACACTCGCTCATTATAATACTTCTAAAATCCATCCCTACACGCCCCTGTCCTATTCTCGCCGATAGAAAGATTTTCTGTTGCCGAAACACCGCAGTGAAAGGAGGCGATACCCTACACGCCGCTCAGTTTACCGTGAAGCGTGTTTTGGAAACACGGCAGCAGGTTCATTACTCATGACTCCTCCCCAACCGGGGTGGAGCCAAATCCTTGAGCTGCCACATACGTGAGAGGTCAGGTGTTTAGGGCTAGGGCTAGGGTTAGGGTTAGGGTTGGTATTAGAGTTAGGGCTAGGGTTAGGGTTAGTGTTGGTATTAGAGTTAGGCTAGGGTTAGGGTTAGGGTTAGGCCCGGTGTTGAGCCAAATCCTTGAGCTGCCACATACGTGAGAGGTCAGGTGTTTAGTAATCTCCAAGCAGATCATACGGTGGCAACACTGGTAAGGCAGTATCCATTGGCCAGAGGAGTGTCTATTTCGTGGCTAATGGACACTCCTCTGGCCAATGGATACTAATGCCTTGCTACCGTACTATAATCTGCTTGGAGATAACAGGTGTCTAGGGCTAGGGTTAGGGTTGGTATTATAGTTAGGATTTGGGTTAGGCTTGGGATCACTGTTCAGGGCTAGGAATAGACTTACGATTGGGGTTAGGTTATGTAAGGTTTTAGTCTCCCAAATCACGACCAAACCCTTCCCACCCCTTGTCTCAGGTATTTTCGCCCCCCCCCCCAAGTAGTGTAGTAGTCATGTATTTGGCAGGATCATGGCTTGACACCGGCTCCGCCCAGGCGTGAAGCTGCCAGGTGTCGGGTTCCTGAAAAGTCGCCACTCAGAAGCGCCCTCTGGCGGAATTTTTACGACGTGCACCTTTGGCAAGGCCTTCTACGCCAATTCAACATTTTCTTGATCTTCTTCCGATAATGTCCACCTACCGAGAAATCGGCAATAACTGACATGTTCTCGTGGCTAATACGAAACGGGGGCTCGTCAGGCCCCCGTTCGGTGATTTGTAGTGAATCACCGGTATCATGGGCAGTCTGCCTGGAACAAAGAGGTTCCGGGTTCGAATCCTACCTTGTCACCGATCTTGTTCACTTGGGAAAGGCACTTTACACGACTTTCCTCTCTTCACTCAGGTGAAAATGAGTACACGTACCCTCGGATAGGACGTAACATGGAGGTCCCACGCACGTTAAAAACCCACCACACCTTTCGAAAAAGATTAGGTACATGCTCCGATGTGCGATGGTCCGAATACTTATTTGATGATTCACTGCGGATTCCAGGAAGAGTAGTGTGAAATTCACACTAATGGAGATTCTAAACAAACAAAAAAAACAAACAAACCATCTTCCAGACTGTAGGATTTAGACTGTCGCTTTAGATGCCACTAGTCTCCACCAGACTTCTTTGTAGGCTGAATAAATAGCAGAAATCGGCCCAAAAAGGAATGTAACACTGCACGAGACGTTGGATTTACCAAAGGTAGTGAACTCAGGTAATGTTTACTATGTATACAGCATCTGGCTCCACAATGGTAACAAATAAAAGTCAAGTGCATTAATTTGATTTACGTCAGGAATTACGGTACTTGACTTTTAGTTACTACCATTGTAAAGTTCAGAAGTGTTTATTTAAAACAAACAAAGTAAACATTACAATCCATTCTTTCCTAGAACTATCGCGGAGTAGAGTGGAACTCGCTGTCACCAAGCACATCATCACTAGATAGCTTTAAAATAAACAATGTGTAGAGTTTGATGTTCAAGGGTTAGGTGTAACAAGTCGATCGGTGTAATGTAGCCAGCTGCCGCCGCGCCACGTGCCTACGAAGCTGGTGTGTTACGCCGAAAGGCGGTTATACTGGCCATACAGATACCCAACTTTACAAAGTAAACATTCCCCAGTAAATCTAATAACTTTTCGTGCAGTGTAAATGGCCAAGGGAGTTAGCCGGCTATAGAGAGTTGATAGTCATCATCATGGGGCTACTTAAGGTGACATTTTTTTCTAATTCCAAATCACCAAAAAAAGTGTAAAATGGGGGAACAAGAACGGACAGACCTAAAATAGTATGTGAAACAACTGTGTAAAAGACTGGGAGAGGGCCAAGATCATTGATAGGGAGGACAACAGGAGAATCCGGTGGATTAAAGAAGCAGTATGGATAAGGAAGTCAACCCCAGTGATGAACCGGGACGAGGGTACAGACTCAGCCACGTTTGGGACTGTGTTCTCGTCGTAAAAGCGCCACCTACATCGGCTATACATATATAGCGGTGAGAAGCAGAACTCCAGTCAGAAGCCCTCAGGAAGGTGTCTGATAGACACGGAAACGTCAGCAAGGTAACTCTTGGTTGTGTAAAACAACTACCGTATCCAAGAACGGACAGAGGTTCACCCAACATCCAATGATAAATTTCAGCCCATCTCACGAATACAAATTAGCTACTGACGACAAGTTTTAAATTCCCATCGCATATGATACAAGCATATCAACTCCATATACTAAGTACGCATGATCAACAAGTGTGATGACGTCATTGTGGGAAAATAACATCTTCTGATGACGTCAGCTGAATGGAAAACACTTCTAAGGCAGTCCATAAGGCCATGTTGATTTGATTATATGGATGACATCCCCCGGGAACCCCAAAACTGATGCGAGCGTGCGAATAAAAAAAAGTTGCCTTCATTATGAAATCTAGGTGGCCATGAAGGTTGAACAAATGACTAAACACACAGTAATATCTTATTGGCATTGTGAATAACAGACTCTTCATTTTCATTCCTTCACATTTTCTTCTTGTCCTTTGGAATGGATTTTGGAATTCTGCGACGTTTTCCAATATATATATATTTTTTCAATTTACGGCATATATTTGCTCATTTTGCAGCTACTGTGGTCGAAATTTTTTTGGGGGAAAAATTCATGCACGCACATGCCATCCATATAATCAAATCAACATGGCCTAACCAGTTAGGAAGAGCTCTCTCTATTTAAAGTGAGGCCATGTTGATTTGATTATATGGATGACATCCTCTGGGAACCCCAAAACTGATGCGCGCGTGCGAATAAAAAAAAACTTTTGCAAAAAAAATTGCTTTCACTATGAAATCTACGTGGTCATGAAGGTTGAAAAAATGACACAGAGTATGGTTTGGTGAATAATCTACTCTTTAAATTAATTTCTCTTTACATTTTCGTCTTTTTTGTTTGATTTTGGCATTTTGTGACATTGGTATCATTTTTGAATATTCTTTTTGCAACTTACG